CTCATACCTTAATAAATTTTGTGGGATTTATGTGTAGCAAAATGCTGCTTGATCTAATGTCAGACTGAGGCCCGAAATACAAGTCCATGCAAAAGGAATGGCTTATTGAATCTCTGTTTTGAATGGGGAGACATAAGAAATGAGTGTGGTGCATGTTGCAATATACTGTAATCTAAATAGCCTTTTCCACATTGGGCTGTGTGATCTGCTCCCCTAACAAATACAGACAAAGGACTAAAGATGTAGGCCCAGTGTAGGTTTTGTTTTAGGCTGGTTTTGATGAGGTTCATTTTCCTGTGACCATCCTGTTGAAAGATGGCAAAAATGTTGGGAACTTGTGATGACTCAGACTGTGAGCTCATTGTTGAGTAGGGGTTTAGTAAAGTTGAACCTTGAATTAATCTTCCTAAGTATATTCTTCTGAATCTAGCCAGAAGAATTCCTCCCTGCCATGGAAGAACTGTTGGCATTTACCAATTGATTTTTCAAATTTCTTTTGTTAAAACAATTTTATATCTGTTTTTTTTAAGGGCAAAATGTCATTGGTTTATTAACGGCTTAGAAAATTATGTAGATATGTCTGGAATGCAGACTTGCTCAAAATAGTAGCATCGGAAAAAAGAGTAATGCAAAAGGAACGTTCTCCCTCTTAAGGACAAGATTGAAGGCATCCATGTTTTGGAGTAAGTGGATGAAGAGAAAATAAATCATTATATTCAACAATATGGTGTAACAACTGAAGAATGGAAGAGTTGTGGTGCTACAAAGGATGCATTTTTACTGTAAGTAAAAGTTTAGCCACAGCTAGACACCGGTGGCTCATGCCTATAATCGTAGCTACTAAGGAGGCTGAGATCTGAGGGTCACAGTTCTAAGCCAGCCCAGGCAGGAAAGTCCATGAAACTCTTATCTCCAATAAGCTACCAGGAAACCGGAAGTGGCATTGTGCCTCTAAGTGGTAGAGGGCTAGCCTTGAGCTGAAGAGCTCAGGGACAGTATCCAGGCCCAGAGTTCAAGCCCTACGACCGACAAAAAAAAAAAAAGAAAAAAGAAAAAAAAAGCCATTATCAGTTTCTAGTTAGAAAAGGATACCCCATCTGTTAAATTATTGAGGGAGAAGGTCTTCTACCCTCTCTGAAAGTAGTTTGGTTTGCTTTCTTCTCTCATACGAAGGTGGCCCGCTGTAAGTTCTTCATTTTAAACTCAAGTTCTTCATGTAAAATTTAGTGATGGAATGCTCCATAAATTTCTAGATGTTATAAAACTACTCTGCCTTCTAATTGTTCTGAGTGAATGGGAATGAATTCAGTAAACCAGTTTTATAGGTATGATTGATTGGTTTCTTTGAGTTTTTTCTCTTTGTATTTTGTTTCAGCTCTTGTTAATTTTCCTCATATCTATACCATTTCAAAAACTATTCCAACACTGAATGTGAAGAGGGATTATTTCAAAGCCAGTGCTATTTGATTTCTAGTCTTACTGTTCTACTCTACTGTTCATTACTGCTCCTTGAATAATTTGGATCTTAAATGTCCCTCCTAGGCCCGTGTATTAAAGTCTTTGTCCCCAGCAGGAGACACTAGTGGGTATATAGAAGAATTGAAGCTCTGGGAGATGGGCATAGTAGGAGGAAATTAGGAGCATGCTCTGGAAGGAGCGAGTAGGACTTTTGTCTCTTCTTTGTGTCTGCTTCTTAGCTGCCATGTATCTTCCACCAGGTGCTCCTGTCACGATGCACTGTGCCACCACAGGCCCAAAAGCCAAAGGACAAACAGCCATGGATTGATACGTAAGTCAAAATAAACCTCTCTTTCTTTTTAAGGTGATTACCTCAAGTTATTTTATCACAGCGTGGAAAGCTAACACACACACACACACATATATTCTTCCTTGCTACTGTTGCCTTTGACATGATCTGACAAGAATAGCAGATATTTTTTATTTCATTGTTAAAGTCATACTACCAATCTTTAATTAATGCCTTAGTCTGACATGGGACCAACATTTTTCAAGTCCACCTACAACAAAGTGGATATAAGAATAACTTCCTGAGACTGACTTACAGTTTTTTAAAAAAAATGGAGACAACTACTAAAAATGCATAGAAACAATTTAGCTCTTTTTCTGAGGAGTGAAGACAAATTAAATGTGTGTTATAATTGCTGTAAATAAGGCTGTAGCACAAACTGTTGATTCCCTATCTAGTTCTTACGTAGTCTCTATATTTGATGGTAAAGCATAAATTTTATTGGGGCACACGGCAGCCATGGAACTGAGGAGAAGATAAACCCTCTTTGTGAATGCATCTTAACCACTGTAAGCCTGAAAATCACATTCACTACACTGTGATTGGCTCAGGAATGAGATTGTGATACCATTCCAGTAAATTAAGGAATTTTCTGTCAATCATAAACAAGGGGTTATGAAGTAAGGATATGCCCTCTTTTGCCTTTGAATGACTTTATGTAAAACCATGAGGTTTGGAGCTTAGGCTTGCCATCTGTACCTCATGAGTTTACAGCGTAAGGAATGAAAAGCTCTAATAGAAATGGAATTCCTGAAAATACCCAGATTCTTGACCAGGTTGTCAAGGTACTGGAACCGGTACCCTAGAATTAGGATACCTTTGTAATGTGACTTACTTACCGTTTAAACTTGCTTTGTCTTTTTCATTTGCTTTATTTTCTTTTATTATTATTTTTTGTGGTGGGGGTCAAGCTACTTGGCTTAGAACATGTGGCTTTCTGGCTTCAGTTTCCAAATTAGCTGAGTACAACATGCTCATGGTTTAAGCTAATTTTAATTGTAATTGATTGCACTCTGGCAGAGAAATGATTGGATATAAAGTAATGACAAATTTAACTCAGGACAAGATGGACTGAAAAATGTACATACCTGAATATCTCTACTTTGGACTTATCAACAGATTTCTTGAAATTTAAGAAAGATAGACTCTGAATGGAAAACACGGTGAGTCCCCTTATCCATGGGGAATGTGATCTAAGACTTTCTGATCTTGGATGTTTGAATCCATGGATAATATCAGACTTATTTGTGTTGTTTTCTACCCAGATCAGAGGTTCCATCTGAACTTCCATGTTTTGGATCCTTGTTGCCTCGCTCCCATCACTACCTCCTGCTTCTGGGGCTCTGTTATTTAGTACAAGAAGAGTTCAGCAAACACTGTGATGCCTTGTTAGTGGGGCTTACAACACAGCCAGTTGCCAAGTGACTAACTGTGGGTAGCACAGATCACATGGCTATGCTGGAGGAAGATTGAATCCCTTCCAGGATAGCTGAAGTGAGCCAGCGTTCAGAGTTCATTGCGTTACCCAGAAAGGGCTGTGTTCTAAAATTTGTGAATTGTTTATTTCTGAGATTTTTTCCATTTAATATTTTGGGACCATGGTTGGCCATGAGTAACTAAAACCAAGGGGAAACAAAGTAAAGGCAACTGGAGATCAGGAGACACTATTCATTTCCCCCCAAAATGTTACTTATGTATATGCTTGAGAAGCTGGATAAGAATGTTTGTGTGTGTGTGTGTGTGTGTGTGTGTGTGTGTGTGCGTGTGTATACAGCCAAGCACTGGTGGATCACGTCTGTAATCCTAGCTACTCAGGAGGCTGAAATCTGGGGATCACAGTTCAAAGCCAGCCTGGGCAGAAAAAGTCCATGAGACTCTTATCTCCAATAAACCACTCTGAAAGTGGGAAGTGGCACTGTGGCTCAAGTGGTAGAGCACTAACTTTGAGCTGAAGATCTGAGGAACAGTGCTCAGGCCCAGAGTTCAAGCCCCATGACTGACAAAAATAAAAAAATAAACATGACCTTTAATGATGTATCTAACAAGTTATTGATTCTTGCTTGAAAATCCACATTTCCAAGCCTAAAAACTGTGGGAAATGAGAAGATGAACAAAATGGCTTGTTCAATGAATGTAAGAGAGCATAAATAACTATGCAAACATATTTGGAATAAGTAAAAAGAAATCTATCTCAAGCAAATTGGAAAATGGTATATATATATATATATATATATATACGTATATATAAATAAAACTAACACTTAAATAAAACAAACACTTGACCTTTGTAGATTCAAAAATCAATCTCACTGAGTAACAGTACTTTTTTTGCCTTTGTTTTGTTTGTTTGAGACTATGCTGGCTTCAAACTCAAGATCTGCTTGCCTAATACTCCCAAGTTCTGGGTTATAGGTATGTACTACCATGCTCAGCTAATGTTGATACTTAGATTTTTGAGTAAATATTTTTTAAACTACAGTTAAAAAGACAGAAAAACTAAAAAGTACATTTACTATTTTTCCATGTACAGATTAATAGTCTGGATGGGTCAAAACTAAGATGCTATTTGTTACCCTGAAAATATTTAATTTATAGATATTCAGTTCAATTAAATATTCATAAAACAATCGACTTAAGCAATGATCATAATTATTTTGTTTTATTGTTGCTGGGGATAAAACCTGATTCCATAAATACTAAATACTCATTCTGCTACTGAGCTATAATTATATATTGAAAGATATGAATACAACCACAATAAACTTATTATGGGAGAAATTTTTTTTTTCTGGTTTAGGTAGAGTACTTTGTTAGGGTGATATGGGTGCATGGCACCCTCTTCTGGCTATAATCTTTCATTACAACATTAAACTCTAGTCATTACAACATTAAGCTCTATGCTAGAGCTGAAGTAAGAAAAGAGATAAGTGTCCAGATGTGGACTTGAGAAGGTGACACCAGTGCCCGAGCCACACCTTGATATTGAGTGTCTTATAGCGAATTGGTTGGTGACAAATGCTTGCAAAATATTTCTATAAAGGATTTTAACCTCATGGAAAAAGGTTTATGAGTTTCACAAATGAGAATGGATCTGAGTGTGTGTGGAAAATATTTTCAGAAGCCACAAAGCTTTCATTCCTACCAAACAGAAGAAAAATGAAATTATTGGGTATACTTATTCAGTTCTATTTACCTTGGGCTTTTCATCCAGGATCTGTTGTCGAATCTCTTTGTGTTTTTCCACGAGTTTTTCTTGCCTTTTACTTTGTGCTTCTTCTAACTACAGGAAAGTCATAGAAAAGATTATTTTCAGAAAAGAGTATTAAAAGCTTTTGGACATGCTTTCAGACAAAAACCAAAACTTTTCATATATATATATATGTTTTAATTGTTTGGGATTCTAGCCAAAAATTTCCCTTTAAGTATATGAGAGCACACATTTTTGCAGTTGGGTAGAGAAATTTATCAATGGACACATTTTTAAAATATGTAAATACTGAGCATTTCTATATTATCAATTTTTTTGTGTGCAGGTTTTAGGCCTTGAACTCAGGGCCTGGATGCTTTTGCTTAACTTTTGTGCTCAAGGCTGGCACTCTACCACTTGAGCCACATCTCTGCTTGCAGGTTTTTTGTGGTCAATTAGAGGAATCCATGGCTGGCTTTGAACTGTGATTCTCAGATCCCAGACTCCTGAGTAGCTAGGACTACAGGCATGAGCCTGTGTTTGTTGCATCCAGCTAGATCATAAAATTAAGACAAAATAGGACTATCTATCTCTGGCAATTGTCATTTTCTCTATCACTGTTGACAACTAAAAACTTTTTTTTATAACATCTTTCTGGACCCCTAACTTAGTGATTATTTTCAGATTAGTATCTCTCTCTTCTCTCTCTCTCTCTCTCTCTAATGCCTTGCTATGAAACTTACAGAAATATTGATTGAGGATTACCACAACTTGGCTGGGGGCTGGTGACAGATACAACAGTTCCAGCTTTTCTTCCAAAAGTTCACACTTGGTTTATAAAGAGAGAAGAAACTCACATACCCTCTTGATATATTGCACCACCTCCTGGATGTAAGATCGGATCATCTCTGTCTTCTCCCTAAAAGTCAATGTAAATGATACCGTTACACCCTCTCATCGGGAATCTCACTTCTTGAACTCTTAGCCTTCTCATTACTGTTGCAAAGAAGGTACAATTTGCCTGTCTCTGGACAAAGAACAGATTCTATCCCAAGCACAGGCTCTATTTTCATTAAATGCTCTGAAATTTGCCAAATCTTTTGAGAAGGGAGAATCTAATCATCTCCCCAGGGAAGTTCTTCAGTTTTATCTAAAACACTCAGGGTGCCTCTTATTCCTCTATTGAACCGCCTGTTGTTGGAAAGTTCACGGTAAAAGTCTTACAAAGGCGATCCTTTGAAAGGTTAATTAAAGGAGAAACTTCTTCAAAGGCTATTTTGATTAAGAACTTGTTACTCTCCTCTGGCCCTGGTGGCTCCTGCCAGTAATCATTGATATTCTGAAGTCTGAGAGCTGGGGAATCACAGGCAGTCAATGCCACAGACGCTTGTCTGGAATTCACCCAAAGAAGATTGAAGTAGAGGCATGGCTCAAGTGGTATAACACCACCCCTGAGTGAAATAGTCAAGCAAGAGCTTGAGGCCCAGAGTCCAAGCACCCCTGTCCTTTTCCCCAAAGTACTAGCACAAGAAGAGAAAGAACTTATTACTCTAATAAGGAATAAAAAAAATTCCCAGGTACAACATAGGGTAAAGTACTTTGTACGTACTCTTCCATTTGGCTTTTGTCTTTAGATTTCGCTTCTGTTATCTTCTCCTGCCTCTTTTTATCCATTTTCTTCTTTAATTCTTTCTTCTCTCTGAAGTCCCCATGGAAAAGAAAACAAAAACAAAAACAAAAAACAAAACCAGAAGATCAAATGGCAATTTGTGCTTCATATTTTTACCTATGGGACATAGGTAATGAGAATAAAGGCTTACTTCTCACAGATTTCTTTGAGCTTCTTTAATTGGTTGTTCTGACATTCTTCAGCAACATCTGTCAATTTCTGAATAAGCTAAAGCAAAGAAAATGCCACTTGGTTACTTTTACAAGATCATAAACAGAATCTCCTCTCTATATCTTTACTACCCCAAAGCAAAGCACGCGTAGTTAGAAAAACTCCAATGACACATTGACAGGAGGACAAATTTCTAGCCATCTCACAGTGCCAAGGGGGGATGCAATATTCAACTCATTTTATTATCCAGGCATGTGATATTAATAGGAAATCTTTTCTTGCTATCTCCTTTCAAATTTTTTTATTGTTATTATAAAGATGGTGTACAGAAGGGTTACAATTACAGTATGTAAGTCAGGTAAAGCATACCTCTTTTTTTGGACAGTGTCATTCTTTCCCTCACTCTCTCCCATGTTATCTCTTTTTAATTAAAGCAAATTAGATTATCATTCCAGTTACTGCATGGACCTCGGTTTCTACCTCCACTCCATGAGTTACTAAAAGTTTGATGGAGGGCATTCTACCACCTACATTTTCTGAACAAACATTTTCTTGATTATAAATGGGATTTTTTTCTTCCTATTTCTCCAGAAGGTAAGATGAAGCTTAAATAAACATGACTATGATGAAAATGTTCTAATCTGCAATGAATGATGATTGTTGGCCTCTAGTTATCATTTATTATTGTTGTCCTACAATTTCCCCTGTTAGAACCTGACACTTAGAACCTTATGCTCATAACTTCCGCTTGGAACAGAGGTGGTGTGAGACAGAGCTGGGTACAGACCCAGACAAACAGCCCTCATCACTCCCCCTGTGACCTTTCAGTTATGTTTTAAATGTTTTTCTTTTTAATGTTCTTAAGCCGGGGGCAAGTAGCTCACATTTATAACCCTAGCTACTCAGGAGGCTGAGGTTTGAGGACCCTGGTTTGAAGTGAACCTGAGAGAGACTTTTGTGAGATTCTTATCTCACAAAATCACAAACCAGCAAAAAGCCAGAAGTGGAGGTGTGGCTTGAGTGCTATCGATCAAACCTGGGAGGGAAAAAAAAAAAAACCTAAAGAAAAGAAAGCACTCATTTGAGGTAGCAAAAAAAAAAAAAACCAGAAAGAAAAGAAAGCATTCAGGCCCTGAGTTCAAACCTCAGTAAGAGCACCATCATCTTACCTAAGAGAATAAAGGAAGGTAAGGAAGGAATTCTCTTAGGGAATTATAATCGAGGATGGATATTCATTTTGAATACACATGAAAGTTAATGCCATCATCTGTCAAGTGGACTAAATCTGAGCAAACATGAACAGGTTTGGACCAGCAGAAGGCCTATATAATCAGCCAGAGGAGACTGCTTGAAGATGACTGTCAGAATTAAATCATGAAATACCATAGCTTTTCAGTGCTTTTCCCCTTATGGCATCATTAGCTAGAAGAAATTAAAGACTTTTTTACTTATTAAATAATTAGGTTCCAACAATGTTATAGTAGTAGTTTGCATAGAGTTTGAAAGGTGTTGCTTTGTTTCTTTAAGGAAATGCAAACTATCCCATAATGCCCTATGAGTTCCCTGTGTACCTCAAGGGTCCCTTGGCACACAGTTTGGGAATGGAGAGTTTTAACTTCTTTACAGGTTTCCAGTGGTGAGCCAGCTCCTATGGAACTCCCATTCCTTAATTTTCAAGGTCAAGAGGAACGACCACAGTGACTCCTCTGTCAATTCCTAGGAGCTTCACTTTAGTTCAGTATCTCCCACTTCCTGAGCTAAGGATAGCCTGCCATCATCTTCCCTCTCAACATTTCTGTAGTAAGAATGGGAACCGCCTTTCCTATAAGACAAGGAAGTACATCTTCCCATTTTTGTCAGGCACTGTCCTTCAGCTCAAACGTGTGCACGTCCCTTCACTTCCATCCCTGGGGTACATTATACATTGACCCAGACACTATGGGAAATTTTCTCCTGCTATGACAAATCTCCTAGACTTTATCATAGGTGCTCAGGAACTCATCTTGATTTTGTAAACATTTCTTCCCTACTTTCTCTCTCACCTTTGGCCCTTCACTTCCATCCCAGATAGTCTTCAGGCTTCATAGACCCCCAAAGACTTAACTTACATGATGCTGCAAATTGTTATATTTCAGGCTCTAAATTTCTTTCTTTGGTTGGCGTTCATCATAGCTTTACAAACTGGACAGTGGTTTGTTCTCATCACTCTGCCCCTATACAACTGTGTCTACATCGTTTCTCATGCTATCCTACCCCTTGAATTTGTATGCATACCATGATGTCACGTAGTACACACACAAATCACTCCCATGATTGTAGATAGGGACTTCAGGACCAGCTGTTTTGCTTCTGACACAAGATTGGAGATCCAGCTCAAGTCTCATTCCTTTCGAAACCAGCCTTTTATAGTTCTTCCCTTTCATTGCTCAACTAACTCTAGATCTTGTTTTTTTTTTTAATTAGCTAATTGTCTCAAATATCCCCAAGGATATTCCCCAAGGATATCACTTTGGCCACCTCCCTGTCGTAATATAGTTTTCTGAATGCAAGACTCTATCCAAAACAGATGCTTGCAAAATGACTGCAAAGGAATTATTTTTATAAGTTTCAAAACTACACTGACTCCAACCTCAGTGTGTTCCTCCAGTGTGTTCCATGGAATTTCACATCCAAGCGGTGGGTCTGTCTTATTGGAAATACTTCTAAAAAGTATGGTAAGCTAAGGTTTTTGTTTTTTGTTTTTTCCTCCTGTAGGAAGAAATGCTTTAATATGAAATCCACATGTGGCTTTTTCTCCCCCTCCAAATGTGACTTTTGTGTTTAACTAATGGAAATAGTGTTTTTCTAAAATCTCAAAGAATCTGTGTTTAATTAATATGACAAACATTAACTATTCTTCTATTGTGTTTAGTTTCTCTTCATCTCTCCTCCATTGCAGACCCTTTCCTGTAACATTCTGTCCATCCTATTTAAAAAATTCATCACTCTTAACTGTAGTTCAACTCAAACATTTGCTGTTTTCATTTAAACTCTATCTACTTTAAGCTCTAGGAGGTAGAACAAATAATAATGTGACTTCTTTAATAGTATTCACCACTGATGTTGTTAGGAGGCATGCACACACACACACACACACACACACACACACACACACACACACACACACACACACACACACACTGGAAGAAGTCATAGGTTGGGTCAGTCATAGCCTGGCTTCTAGCCACAGGTATCTCTTCTAAGGTTGTAAGTTTAGCCAATTATATGATCCTAAGACATTGCTTAAGATTTTTCCTATATGTTTTAATAGAGAAAGAAATAAATCTTTATGTCCACACTTGTCAACAAGGGAAAGCCTTTCTGCTGCTATGCAAAAGAATACCAGTATTATACAGAGAAAAACAGCAGAGTGTGACAGAGACAACAAACAGTTGTGATCTATAGAAAGTGCTATAGATTGGGTTCTGGTCCCATCTCTCTCTCCCCTCTCTCTCCCTATCCCTCTCCTTCTCTCCCCCATCTCTCTGTTTCTCTCTAATACATTCTCCTGAATTAAACAGTGAACTTTTTATCTCTGGTGCATTTTTCTAGTATATATTTGTGCTCAAGTTACTCCAACATGGTTTCTATTTCTTACAACCAAGAGAATCCTGACACACCAAAAATATCCCCTCTGATTTCTCTGATTATCTCCAAGTAAGATGAACTTTGATTTTTGTATTGCATGAGATGTGAAAATATGACTATGAAGAGTGATTTTTTCCCACACATTGGATAAAACACTTATGAATGCAGCCAAGAGTTGGAACACTTGCTTTTGGTGTAGTTATTAGCAGACAGGATTTATTAAAAAGTTATTCAATCATGTCATGGAAGTAAACGGTCTAGCAAAGGTAGCAAAGAAGCAAAGATGAACTAACATTCTAGAAAATAAGCCAGAGGTACATGGTAAACTGAGAATTCTGAAAACAAGATTTAATTTTAACTTTTTTGTATGCTTTGTACTTTTTCTTTCCCAAAGGAACAGACACAGTTCAATTACTTTGCTTATTTGTTTACCACTCATGACAAGTCTCCTAGATAAAATGTTCCAAACCTTTTAAGGAGTCAGAAGAAAAGCCCCAGGAGAGTATAATTTCATGCTTATTCTCAACACTGTGCTAAATTTCACTTGGTTTAGTCATTTCAGAGACAGAAAATGGTTTCTACAGAAGAGAAAAATTTCCTGATACTAAATCAAAGGGATCAAATTGTGGGGAAAGATATCTGTCCATTATGGCATTTCTTCTGAGTGGGATAATTTGGGAAAATGGACAAAAAGTATAGAATACTCACACTGAGCCCAATGTACTTTCCTTCCCCCTTTTACTACCTTTAAAGAAGAAATATCTCCTTTGGTACTAAAGCAGCACCTCTGGGTTTTCATCATATATTGTTTGTTTCTCTTTCTACAAAGAATTCTTTGATAATGCATTTGAACTATATGTGTACCAGAGATCAAACACATTATTGTACTGGCAATTTAAAAATAAGGCAGGTATTTACACTGGGGCATGTCCTGGCCAGAGAAACATTCATTGGTGTATTCACTGAACACTAAGAATAACTATGATGTGCTAGAGGATTGAAGATCAGTGAACAGTCAGAGAGGTGGTAAGCATGTGACTGCTTTTCTCCATTTGCTCCCTTTACTTTCACTAGAAGAAAAGTCCTAGACTAACATGGCGGACATCTTGGTCATTTTCTGAGTCATTCTTTACTATCTCTGAACTTATTGCTATAAAAATAAAACATAAGTTATAAGATTATTGTTAAATGTTTTTAAATTATTGACCATAGTAATTAGAATCTACTGCTATTCATTTGAATTTCAGTGCTGAGGATTGAACCCAGGACCTCAAACATGCTAAGCAAGTCCTTTCCCCAAGTTATACCCTCAACACTGCATTTGAATATTTAAAGGGTCCTTGGGATTTTTCTCTCTCCTTACTTGGTTAAGAAAAAAAATGAGAATGGAAATGTGACCAAGACTCTTACTCAAGATAAATAAGTTCATC